ACACACACACACACACACACACACACACACACACAGAGGCTCTTTATAATTATAGATAATAAAACAAGAAATATAGTTCTTATGTCTGGAATCTTTTTCAAGCATTTGTGCTTGTAAGAAAATTCCCTTCCCATCTCACAGTAACCTATGTTTTAGTTATCTGTGATCTTTTTTTTTTTTAGTGCACTATGTAATTTAGAATACAAAGTGTTGTCATGCACAAAAAATAGAATGTCCTAAAACTTAGTGACTTTCTAACTAAGCTATAAATGAGTTAAGAAATTTTCAGCAGCTGGTTTATTTGAGCTCAAATGATGGCAGACAGTGAAACTGGGGATTATTATTTTAAAATTTGTCATCTGAATGATTTTAATCTTGTAGCATTCAGTAATTTTCCCTTTCTATTGGTTATATAATAATCCAGTAGCAAGTGTCGGAGAATTGACATTTTTTGAAAGACAGAATGTACTAAAAGGGGTGTAGCATTAATCACCTATTGTACATATCTCAGTATATTAAGAAGCATAGAAGCTATAAATTTACATTTTAGGTCAGAGATATTTATAGTATAAGTGCAATATGTGGGAAACTTTAGAAGTGCCATTCAGGTGTAGAAAGAAAAACCTAAAATGGGCAATTTGGAGCATAAAAATGAAGATTGAGAATTTATTGAAGTATTTCCTTTTGAAATTCAGAAATAAAAACTTAAATTTGAATTATAAACTGTTCTTATGCTAAGTTTATTGACATACTTTGATAATAAAGTTTAATTAAATTTTGAATGTAACTATAAAAGGTCATGACATGCACACTTTGACCCTACCCATATATATATATATATATATAGGCTTAATCTCTCCATGAGGTTACACTAGTTGGTCAAACACTGATTTTATTATTTCTTTTGAGTGTATTTAATCAGCCTCTGAGATGTCACTCATTGGGCAAACACTAATTTCTGGATTTTGACTATAAACTCAACAATAATATAATATAAGAATGAAATGTTAGACATTTAATAAATTAAACTTTTTAAAATGTTTATTAGTAACTTTTGGTATTCAGGATTCATGAAAATTTTAATGACTAAAAAATACTTGTGATGATCAGAGTGTGTATTTTTTTACTTTTGAGGCCAACCAAGAAATTCCTCCATGGCTAGAAGAAGAAGCTAAATATGCAACTGGTACTGGTGTGCCATCTGTTGGAGGAGGTCGGGGCCGATATGGAGCTCGTGACTTCCGTGCAAAGGTGATTTGTTTTAAGACATTAGAAATAAAGTTGTTTTTCTTTATAGTAGGAAAAATATCTTCTGAATGTTTCCTTTTTCATTGTTTGTCAAAATAAGATTCATAACTTCTTGTTCCCATGCCCAGAGATTGGTTCCGTCCTAAACAGTTATTTTTCTATTAAGTGAAAAATGTATTATTTACATCAGGAAGAAAGTACTTTGATATATTAATGTTTATTTTTGAAATTTAACAAAGAACATATTCAAGTAAAATGATAGTTTTAGGGACATCTTGCTATGCATACCTTCACATATTACAAATCTGATAAAATGCATTATTAAAGTACAAATATCTGGAGACTTATTTTTGAGAATGTCTGACAGTTAAATTCTGTCCTTTTGCTTTAGGGAGCTTCTAAAAGAAATGATGACTGGGAAACCAAGGAAGATGTTATGTCCACGTATGGAGGACCACCTTCTATTAATTACTCGGAGAACTTTAGCTCACCAGTTGTTGATGAAGAAGAATGGGGCTGAACAACCACCAAGTGAAGAGATATTCAAGATAAAAGTTCCAACTAACTTCTGTTTTTTAAGTTGATAAAGGTGACTTAAATGTGTATAAAAGTTTTCCATTTGAATAATTTCTTATACTTAGAAACTTTTATTGTGTTTGTCAAGACTGTATTTTATCGCTATAAAGTCAGTAAAATATTTTTGTTTTGTATACTTGTGGTACTTATTGTAAACATGTCTTACACAATTGTCATGCGAGTGCTGAACAAGAGTTTTAGCCGACTTTAAAAAGTTGGTTCCATAAGCCTGTCTCAAACTTCAAAACTTTGTTCAATTGTTATGTTAAATATTTTTATATAAAGTCCTAAAACTTTAGGGACATGGACCTGTTGGAAGTACTGTTTTTTTTGTTTTTTTTTTCTGGTTTTAACCCTGTGAACAGTGTTGAATTGCACCAACCCATGTTTCTGTGAGCCTATATACATGTATAAGTGTTTACTATAATTCTGAGTTTATTAAATATACCTTCACAGAATTTCACAAACTTTTTAATGAACATTAGAAGTATCTACACACAAAAAAAAAATTGTAAAGTATTTTTCTAAAGATTTGTCTGAACTTACCGAGTCGGTCTGTCTAGTCCGAGTGCAAAGTGATTTTCACGTTTAGAATAAAGTATTTCTTTGACCTTACAGTTTATATATTTCATTTGCCTAACCTCTAGAAACTACTAAATGAATATCAAATTATTTTTTCTGTAAAAAATTATTACTTCTTATTTTCTCTGTCCTAACAATAAACAAAAGTTGAAAAATATGAAATAAAATCAAGAGTGCCTTTTTTTATTATTATTATTTCTAGAATGACTGCAGATTGTAACATGGTTACAATTATTTATCTTAAGAGCTTAACTTTTTGCAATTGTTTTTATTGAATTTTGTTTTTGAACCATGATACAATAAATCAGAGTTGTTAAACAAACAGACCAGATCACATCGTGCACATTCATCTGTTCATGCATGGATTAGAGGAGTGATGATAAGCTTCTTTTTTTTTTCATATCAGTTTTCTTGTATAGCCTAATAAATTTATATATAATTAAAACTGTAAACTAAAAAGCCTTCAGACTACTATAATTTATTTAGCTTTCTAACTACCTATAAGTAAGTTTAAAAATTTCATTATTTACTGGAACACCGATTTAGTCTACACACTAACATATGCTTGTGAAATGGCGTTATTTTACCAAGATAAGTTAACGTAGTTTACGAAATCGCGTACTTTCTACTAGTTATAAACAAATACAATTGATAAATAGGCATGAGTAAATAAATGAGCTCAAAAACAAAAGTTGAGAACTTCAGTAGTGGGTGTAATAAGTTTATTGATATCTTGTAAAATAAAGGTGGAAGGTTGATAATTTAAATCCTGTCTTTTCAATATCTCTAGTTAGTGTATCCAATTAGTGGGAATCTGTAACTCTTATAAAGAACGAAAAGATTTAAAGTATAATTCAGAGTAGAGGCATGTGACACAGAAGTAAAAAATTTGATTTTTATGTATTTGCTTTTGAAATTAAGGAATTAAACTTGCATAATATTAATTTTTATTATAAATTACATTTTAAAGTTTACTGACATAGTGATAATGAAATTATTAAATTTTGAATGCAACTAAAAAGTTCAACGTGTGCACTTTGTTCTTTTTAAACTTAGGGTTAACATAATTTACCAACCTTTTTGATTTCACCCCCACCCCCTTTTTATCAATAAATAAATTTTCTAATTGAATTTGGTGAAATCTTTATATAATTTGAGTGCTGTGTAACATGCTAGGGAAAGAAATTACGCATAATAACTTGGATTTTTATACAAGCACACTTTAGTTAAATCTTTGGAAAATTTTTAGATAGTTCACAGTTGTGAAAAAATTCTCATTACACAAAGGTCTGTTCAATATATTTTTTAGGAAATTTAAATTCTACAAATAAAATAATATTTTATAATTTGCTAAACAGTTATCCCAAGGTTGATATGAACTTTTTGAGTTGAAAATGTCAAAAGTATATGTATACACACATATACATACATACATATAAATATATATAAACTTGTAGTTTCAGGTGGAAAACTAATTTTGTCAATAAAAATGCATTAGGAAACAAAAATATAACTTCTGTCTTTCATAGAAAAATTTATTCAGAACAGCACGAAAATATGTTATTGAAAAATATTTTGCATGAAATTTAAACACTACTTAAGACATTTTTTTTCCCCTTGAGATTTTCCTTCCTCATCATTATCTGGAAACATTTGTTGAAAAGTATTCATTGCTTAGGAAAACAAGATACCTACAATACTAAATTTTTTTTAAAAATGTGTAATACATGTTTCGATATCCATTTACTCACATTCGGTATAAAATGTGTTAGAAAATTTATAATATTTTTACAAGCTATATGATGTCATTTTTGTTAGCTAAAGATAGCTGTGTTTTTTAGTGGTGACATTACGTTAGCAAAGAAAATTCTAAGTTGAAAATCAAGTTTTTCTTGTACATTCGAAGCTAGATTATAAATAGAAGCTAGTTGTAAAGTATGCAGTTATTTCAAGATAGAGTTTAATTGATCAATGTGTTTTCATGAAGTGTTTGGACCTGTACAAGTAAGTTGGTTTTTCGTTTATCCTAGTATTGTTATAGGTTTGAATGTCATTTTGGCCTACAACAGTGTACAAGCATTCAACTTCTAGAAACATTAAATGAGGAAATAAAAGTAATTTGTTCTTGTCAGATGGACTGAACATAGAATTATTTTCACCAAGTAACTTTAAAGACCTACAGCAAGAGGCTAAGGTCACAAAAATATCTACCATGAGCCCTTTGTATTTTACAAAACAAGAAACACTTCATGAAGAGAGGGAAAGATTGAAGTTTGATGTTCAACTTCGGTGTATTTCAATTTTATATTAAAGCTGGAAAGAGAATGCCTAGCCTGAGTCATAATTATAGAGTTCAAACATAATGCAAGAGTAGTTACCTATTTAAACACTACTTCCTCACTCTGTTGTTCCATTAGTACTTATAATTTTGAGCCTCGCATTGTGTGTGTGTGTGTGTATGCATGCTTTACAATATGTTTTAATTTCCTTAATTCACTTTAACAGGCCTCCCAGTGGCTCAGCAGTAAGTCTAAAGGCTAATAACCGATTTTCGATACTCCTGGTGGACACAGCACAGATAGCCCATTGTGTAGCTTTGTGCTTAACGAGAAACAAACAAGCAAATTACTTAAGCAAGTGGAACTCCTACTAGCAAAATGTCTTAAGTAATTAAGTACAAAATATTGTTTAATGCTCATTTGTTTTTAAGTTATTGTGATTAATAGAGCCTATATAATTGACTAAGGCATTATTATTTATCATTACTAGACTTAATTAGTTTATATTTATATTTTGGTTGCTGTCTTACGAAAATCATGAGAATTGTGATAGTAGAGGGCCAGGTTATTAGGTTAGTGTTCTATCTATTTGTCTATGGTCTTTAGAGTATCCATTTTTCAGGTGGTTTACAATAATATACTTTACTCCCTACTTGGCATCTGTATTACAGATCTTATTATTTTAGAGCCTTGATAGTCTATCATGTCTGTCTTCATACTGTTGGTTTGGTATTGTATTAGTAATCATCTCGACTATTGGGAGTTTTCTGTAAGCTTCTGTTGTATGTCTTGGTATCAATTATGGTGTTGCTGGATGTTGTATATAGTGTTAGGCCATATTACAGATTTTATCTGTAGTCAAAATAATTACTAGAGCTGGGAAGTTAGCTGAATATGCTAACCAATTACTTGCCAGGCTCCTTAATCAATTATTCTCATATTAAATGGTTAAAAAAATTGTTCTAAAATAAGATGCTAAAAACTTATAATGCTAAAAATTGGGTTTCAGTATATGTGATGGACAGAGCCCGGCAGCATATTGTGTAGCTTTGTGTTTAACAACAAACATAATGGCAATATTTTGATTACTAAAATAATTGCAATAAGTAATATAGTAATAATCAGAAACTAATTTTGGTTAGTTGATTAATTTTCATGAATCATAACTAATTGATTAAGCTGAACAAACTAGAATTAATCAAAAACAATAATGGAAAATCATTACTTGCAGGTCTGACATCAATATTACACATTCTTAGGTGTCTTTTTACATGAATTATAACATTTGTAGGTACCTTACGTTACTTGCAGGGCTGACATCAATATTACACATTCTTAGGTGTCTTATTACATCATTTATAACATTTGTAAGTACCTTACGTTACTTGCAGGTCTAATATCAATATCACGTTCTCAGATGTCTTATTCTAACATTTGTAGGTATCTTACGTAACTTGTAAGTTTCATCAATATTCTTTTTGGGTATCATTCTAGTAAACTTTCTCTGAACCCTCTCCAACAATTCAATGTCCTTTCTAAGGTAAGGAGCCCAAAACTGAGTACAATACTCCAAATGTTGCCTAAACAGTAACCTATATAATGAAATTATTAGACTTATTCAATATTTCTCTGTATATATATATACAACTTAAAATCCTATTTGCCCTGCCACTAATAACAGCATATATCTTGTGAAGCATTTTACACTATTTTCAAATGCTTCAAGGAATGAGAATTATGATGAGTCAATGAAATTCATCCATTTAATTAAGTGACAGATTTACTTGCCAGTTGGATGTGTACAATATTTGGAGAGTTGTAAGAATACCAAAGAAATTTGTATAAAAACCCATGTTTTGGGGCTAACAGTCAGTCTCTTGGTTCATATCAAGAAACCGTCAAACTTGCTCCTGGCGAAACTCATCTAGATGCTGCCTGATCCAATTGTGCCCAAGCTTAAAACATCACTGAAAATGTCTATACAAGTTTTTCACGCTCAAGCTCCTTGTAAGTATTTAGATTAAAAAAACTTATGTCTGAACATATTTCACTTAATTTGTAATAATAAATTTAATGGATATTATTGAAAGTTTAACTGAAGGACAATTATCGGCTCAGACTGAAGAATTTAGTAATGAAGCCTTTTCAAAATACCATCGATAATCTTGATGTAGCTGAGTGTCTTAATAAATTGAATTAAAGTATTGTTTGTGTTTTGAATCTCAGTCTCCGAGTCAATTTTTTATTCTAACTGTAAACTTCCTCGAGTTAGTGACTTGGGTACTCCACTCGCAACTGTAAATCTGGATTTTAAATAAATCTATTGATAACCGGATTTAAGTCGAACTACAAATGACTAGACAACACAACATCCGTTACACTTGGATGGCTCAACCAGAACACCAAGATCCATGACTTTCATAACACTGTTAAGGTTACTTCCATCGAAAGTATACTTACAATTCAAATGATATACCACAATCAATCAACCAGGTAGTAAAACTCAGACACACACTGAAGAACCCACCCTCAGGACTGTGCTACGACTTCGTCAATCCTAACACTCTGTAAAACTACAGATGTAATAAAGTTATGAAGAAGTGCATCAAAATGAAGAAGTTTGGCCTTAGAAAAACACAATTTTCATATTTCAAATCATATTTTAAATTATAATGCATACGATTAGTAGTAGTGTGGGAAAAACTATAAAGCTGGGTGATGTTTCCATTAAATTTAAAAAGCAGGCCTGATGTCTAAAGAATTGGTTGTTCAGTAGTTAGCTTTAAATGTGATCCGATCCCATACTCCTACAGTAAAGGGAAATTCATGTGGCTTGTTTTTAAAACGTTTAGCATAATTACTTAGGAAGTTTCCAGAGGTTAGATTGTTTACCAAACGTCTGTCTACTCAACTGATGAGAATGGAAACACTTATAAATTCTATATATTGTGCGCATAGTTCTCCATCATTTGTAACAATTTGTACGTTTGAAGTGATGTATCTGTGTAATGAGCGATGCTGCATTATTATATACACCCCCAGTGGCACAGCGGTATGTCTGCGGACTTACAACGCTAGAAACCTGGTTTCGATACCCGTGGCGGGCACGGCACAGATAGCCCTTGTGTAGCTTTGAGCATGATTGAAAACAAACAAACAAAGCATTATTATAATATAAATAGTTGCTTTGTTTCTTCTCAAAGGCAAAAACAATTATGTTCTATGTAATACAGGACAGAAACATTCCTACGGGCAGAGGAGACGTTACTTATTAGAGAACAATGAATGGGAGTTGTGACGTAAGTATGTCCCCGCAATTGTGAGGGGGCCCGAGCAAAAGGGGGTCAAAATCATAACTACAATTATAGGGAAATAAATGTAGATGGCGTAATATCTTTTTACGGAGGAGGCACTCTTTTGTAGTTACGCCACCGGGTGAGAGCAACTAGAATAAGATAATGTTAACAACTGGACCACGTATTGTTGCCTTAACAGTGTGGAAACCGAATAACCACGAATTTGTAATAATTTTCTATTGCTATAGAAGGTCGAAAACCCGTGACATGACTGCATATCACAGTAGCCTAAGAGTTGGTAGTGGGTGTTGTTGACTATCTGCTTGCCCTTTAGTATATCAAGAATAGGGATGGCTAGAGCAGATAACCCTTGTGTAGCTTTACGCAAATATCCAAAACGAACATTGCTATTTTATTGTTGTTAGAAGTGCTAATTAATTTAAGTGACTTGCGTTATACACACACACACACACATATATATATTGTTGCGTCAGCGAGGTCACGTGACTAGTATCTCGCCACGTCCTTCTCGAACCTTCATGAATGATCTAGCGTTTACTAGATATGTGTTAGTCTTCTATATATAAGTCGGTCACAACGTGACGGGAACAATATGTGTGTAATTGAACTGCGGAGGTAATGAGTAAGAATATTGTTGAGCACGTGAGAAGTTCGTTGTGAGTTATAGCGTTTGTTAAAGAACGGCTGTTGAAATTAAGTGTATCGTAAAGTTGTATTCGGAAAGAATAAACCAGTTTTATTTAAGAAAGGACTTGTGTCGCTAAAGTTTCGTCGGAACAAATTTACGGAAAATGAACTAACGAACGGAGACGTAACAATATCACTGTTCTCTGATCTCACCTTTCTGAAGAAGTAAAAGTGTAAGTAAAATTTGATAATTTTTTTCAATTGTTTCACATAAATGAAACTTTCATTAATTTTATTTCTTTTTACTAAACAATTAGATCCACTAGAGATAGTTGCTCGATTGTAAATCCGAGGATCAGTGGTTCGCGGTCCATTGCCGCACAAACACGCAATTCGCACTTTTGCGTTATAAGGGGACGATTAAATCCTACTATTTGTTGTCTAGCTGCCTAATCTACTCTATCAGTTCAAAATTAGGGACGTATAGCCCAGATAGCTTGTGTGTAGTTTGCTTGAATTTTCGAAACAAACCAAACTAAAGTAGCTTATGAAAACATTCAAATTAGCCTAATTTTTATGAAATATTCTTGCTCATCAGAGTAACTTTAATTTCGCGTGTCTTAATTTTCATATCTCAAATAATCGTATTTTAGTAAATTCGTAAATAAAAAATAAAGGTTATATTAAGTAAAAAATTTTGTTGTGAAAATTTTTCATTTTTTTTTTATTTATTCGCACGTTTGGAAATATTTTAAGATGGCACTGTTATTTGTATTAACTGCCAGTGGACCCTGAGTGGAGTTTGAACTGTGACGGGAATTCATATTAACTATTGGTGGATTACGTGTTACCTAGGGGGTGGAAGGTGAAAAAGAAAAAATCGGACTACAAGTAACGTTTGCAAAGTTATTAAGGATTTAACGTAGTTTGATTTGTTTTTTACAATTTAATCATTAAATAATATTGCTTCATTAACAATAATGTTGAATACTGGGTAAGCTACACCACTTTTAATTAGTGTTATTACTATGTTAGCATACCTTCTAAAATTTAATTGTAATTTAACCAAGTTTTAACTTATAGTTTTACCAGAGACGTTTATTAATGTTAGTATTATTCTGGTTATACGTATACTCATAGTCATATTGTAACAAAAGTTAGTGTAAAAAAAATTAAGCTGGTCTCAAGCTAAATGAATTTGAACTATAATATGGTATAAGTTTGACTAGGAATCAAGTAAACTAGGTACACTTCATGTACAAGATTCCTTGTGCGACATCCAGTTGAACAAGTAGTAGTGATAATTTAGAAATATGTACCGATATATTTGGAACGTTAAGTGATTAACTAAGTTTCGGTTTGTTGTGCCAAAGCAGCCTTCATCAGTTCATGATCATCAGAGACACAAAACAAACGATACATTAAAGCTCACTCAATTATCAAACAAGTTAGCGGAACGTAATGACAGATAAGATTCTTAAATTAAATTGGAAGTTGGTGATATATATAATATAGTTAAAAGATAAATAGTTTGAATTAAAATACAAAAGGCCATATAACTGACTAATATTACATTACAGATATCAACTTGGGATAATCTGTTTCTTCAAGACTATACTTGCACACCCACTTCCAAGAAAAAGTAAACAAACTTAAAATAAATGTATAATTACGTTTTAAAGAAATTATCCATTTCCACTCTTAAACTTTTGTAAACAGCCAACATCCACTACTGTCATAACTGGAGCCTAGCCTATCTTTTTCCAAATCTTAAATTTGTGTACTCTCATCATATTGGTTTCAGAATGTAGTACAAAGAAATTAAGAGCCTTTATCCTGTTGATCCACAGAATGCTTGTGTAAGGTTGAATAGGATCACCTTTTAACCTCTTTTTTTTTTTATCAAAATAAAAGAGAATATATTCCTACTAGATTATCTTCCTGTCCCTGGGATTGTCATAGTGGCCCACCTTTGAACTATTTTTTCAATAAAACAATATCCTTTCTTAGATAAGGAAACCAAAATTGCACACATTATTCCAAGTGAGACTTAATTAGTGAATTGTGTAAAGAGTTAACTACCCCTTTTGATTTGTAGTCAATATATCTATAATTACATCCCAACTTTGTGTTAGCTTTATTATTAGTGAAAGAGTACTGGTTCTGTATCTTGAGTGATTTATATACCACTGTAGGAAGATAATTTTTTCAGTCATGCTACAGAGAGAGTTCCCATCAATATTAACCCTTTCACTGGGGCTGGAAAGTATATTTCCTAGCCGCAGTGAATGGGTTAAAAGTACGATTCAAGTTTTGACAACCCAAGTACATTTACCTTGTATTTACTATAATTAAAGACAACTTGTTACCTGATTATCCAAGTTAACCTATGGCTAACAATTCACCATTTGAACCTTCAAGGCTGTCCTTTCATCCCCTCACTGAAGAAAAGTAAAAATTTAAACCCAACCTTTAGTTTTCAAGAAATTATCGAATTCCCTCTTAAACTCCTATAAAGTGCTGACCTCCAATGCGTAAGTTGATCACCCTGTTGTAAAATTAAAATGATCATAACTAGAGTCTAGCCTGTTTTCCCCAAATCACAAACTTGTGTCTTCTCATCCTATAGTCTTCAGTATACAGCACAAAGAATTTGAATGCTTTTTTTTTTTATTATCCCCCGGATAATCTTGTAAACTTCAATAAGTTCAATTTTTACCCTCCTTTTCTCAAGAGAAAGTAAGTTAGTGAAAAAATCTGAACCTTTCCCTGTAAGATAACTTTTAACTTCTAGAATCTTTCTAGTAGCCCTCCATTGAACCTTTCCATTAATTCTGTATTCTTCCTTAGATAAGGAAACCAAAACTGTACACAGTATTTCAAGTGCAGCCTGACTAGTGATTTATATAGAGAATAATAAACTCTTTTGATGTGTAATCATTGTGTCTTTAAATACACGTTAAAGTTCAATTGTCTTTACTACTATCAACAGTGTACTGCTTTGATGGCTTGAATGATTTATCCACCGTTTTGTTTAGATCCTTTTCTTCAGTCACTCTATTGAGTTAGTTCCCATAAAACATGTGATCCAAATTATGACTACCTAGATGCATTACCTTGCATTTTTTATAATTAAAGGTCATTTGCCAATTATTTGTCCAACTTACCAATTGATTCAAGTAATTTTGTGGTATTTCAAAATCCTCAATAAAGCTAGAAATACCCGAGAATTTAATTAATCATTAAACTTTACAGATTCTCTGGTTATGTTCTTTATCAGTGCCATTTATGTAAATAAGAAAAAAGCTAAGGCCCATAGTGAATCCTGGTACACACCACTAGCACTGCAATAAGTCTAGTTTGACTGCTTATTTAGATTAATTATACTTGTATGTTGTTTTTATTATTTTCCATCATAACTTGGCAGCATTTACATCAAAATTTCCACTAATTGTAAATATTTTAATGGGAACATTCCTCCAAACCTCCCAAGTTTCTGTTTGTCTTTTGCCTGGTACATTACTGATAAGTTTATTTAACTTTTAACTTTGGCCCCATTATAAACACAATTTAGTTCTGACAACTAATTTATTGTCCTTATAATGACATTGTTACTTTTGTGAGTATGTCATACATTTTCAAATAAAATTAACAAAGCTAGAAAATGCTCAGTTTCAAGCATTTCTCCTAACTTGTCAGGGTACAGGTTTTGAAAGCTTATGCTTATTACCCCTAACATTCACTTCACCATTAGGCATTACTAACTTTCTCAGCCCCCAAAATCATACAATTCCTACTTTTTGTATATTCAAGCTGCTAAAAAATGTTATCGAGGCTTCAAAACTTTTAATCAAGGAACATATTTTACATTGTAATATATGTGGAAGTGAACACTTGCATAAAACAGAGACTATGATAATTTCTATGAATTACAACCTCTTCCAAGTCATGTTGTACTTCATTGTAGCAGTTCACTGAATACATGAGATTTTCATTGCTAAGCATGAGTGTGTAAGTAATGAATGAAATTCATGAGGGTTTACAAGTTTCTAAAAGGGATTAAATCACAATGTATTAACATTATGAGGGGTGTACATCAGATATTTATGCTCTTGGTTCTTTGTAACTTCTCATTTTCAGTAATGACGTTGATAAAGTAATAATCAGTAAATTGGTTAAACTTGCATATATTAAATGGGTATTTGAAATTGTACTAAAGATGCTTACACTTTGCAATGAGATTTAGACAATTTGGTGAGCTGGTTTAATACCTGGAGATGTCATTTAATCTTCATTAAAGTTATGTATGTTTGTTATCATGAAATTAATTATTTTTACAGTCTTGCTGGTGAAACTCCAGCAGAAATCAATAAGAAAAAAAAAGATCTGGGCCTAGCTATAAAGGGCTAGACTTAGTTAAAATGTTATGTTAATTTTTGTTCACCTTATTTTACTCTTATCATCCATGGAAGTTTTTTTTTCAGTTACTATAATTGATGTAAATATGTGGGGTGTATAAAGAGTTAGGAGAGATGATTAGCTGAGATGATTCAAGGTTTGGAAAGGTTATCATGTCAGGATAGGATGAAATATGCCATGTTTCTGCTGGAGAAAAGAGCTTGACTGATGATGAGGTGCATAATTAATGTTCTTAAGATTGTGATAAAATGTTGGAATTTATAAGTCCAGATGATTGTTTTTAAAACAAATTTGAGGGTAGCAACACTACAGGACATACTCAGACAAACTCCAGTTAAAAGTTACTTTTCTAACATAGTTGATTTGAGAAACAGTTTACATTTCAAGTGTGGTAGAAAATTTATGGAGCTTAAAAGCAGATTAGATGGGTAATTTGAAGATCACTAGAAAAGGGGTTTCTTTATGTATTTCGGAATAGAATAGTAGTAGAAAGTGGGATAGCTTAGATGGGTCAAACAGCTCCATATTATCCCTTTGAATTCAAATTACTTTTCCACAGATGATTTTGGCACTTTCTAATCTTTACACATTGCAGCCAGACTCTTATTTAATGCTCTTCTCAATAATCACAGTTTGGAAGTGTTTCTATTAGTTTCTGTGTCCTTGAGTGCATTATTTGTCATTTAAGAACATTTAGACAAGTCATTTTGGATGTACTAGAATCTGTGCAATTCAAAGACTTTAAAGCTCTAGAATTAGAGCAACTGCTTAAAATCTTAGCCATTTGAACATTTTTTTTTCTCAAGACTGTTAGAAATTATGGTGAGACTATTCATTTATGTTGTTATAAACTTAAGTAGTATTTTTATGAAACTTGCATGTAACAATCTTTAAAAGTGTGGAAATTTCTACCCCTGTATAAAAATTGTGTTGTAGATGTTTATATAGATAATTATATATACAGTGTTGTGACCAGAGAATGAATACTGTTTGTTTCTTTTGAATAAGCTATTCCACATGGATACATTTGGATAAATGTGAAACATTTACTTGAATGTACAGAATGTTGAGATAAAATACTAATTTTGATACTTTGGAGATTTTCAAGGAATATGCAAATTTTTATATGTTTGTGGATGAAGATGTTTTAGGAACTTTAAATATTTATATACTAGCAAGAAAAGATATATTTTTAATATAATTAGAGGCATGAGTAAAAGTGTGGTGGATATGTTTATTTTTTGTACATATTAAACAGTTTCAATCGAAAACTGGCCATTTCTCCATTTCTCAATATGAATATTACATATTTTCCATTTTAGTTTTGAGTATTAGAATCCATAAGTCACATTCTAACATGTTATTTTCAAGTGAAGATTACTAAGTACCTGTAATTTCTTTTATTATATTTTTGCACTTTTTCCAAGTTGAGCAACAAACTTCAAAATGTGTATTTAAATTTGAGATAACATGAAAAGGTTATATTTAAGTTAATATCAATGCAAATATTGCATCAACTCTAAACATTGTTTTATAAAACTTCAGTTCTTATTTTGATATGAACTTAATAACTGGAGAGGTTATTGTATGGGAGGGAAGTGAAAACCTTGATTTGTTTTAACTGGAGAGAAGAATTGTTCAAGGGGGAACACGAGTGAGATTTTTAACTTTGTTAGAAGTTTTAAATCCAGCTGCAAGCAGTAAAACAAATTTTACGATATGGAAAACTTAGCCATGACTCCAGTTGTTAAGGCAGTGTTACTTTTCTAAAAGGGATGTAAGCCTATAAAATAGTTTTCTTTCATGAGAGGCATTAGCTGCAACATGGAAGGAGCTAAAGAGGGAATTGGATAAGATCAGATGAGTAGTATCGTAGTTGAATATTAGAATACTTTCTATATGTAGCTAATAGATAGTTAGCAGTAGAAAATGGGACAGTCTAGATTGACCAAATAGACCATTATTATCCATTGGATGTACTTCCATTAGTGTCCATTGGGTTATTTTTTCAATACATTTTGAAATGGACATTATTCATAATACCAGAAAGGCATTTATTTATCTGTAGATGTTGATAGTTGAACATGTTGGTAATTAAAAAAAAATTTTTATCAGCAATGATGTTCCATTGGGTTACATTTATACATTTTTTATGATTAAAAAAAATTAAACCTGTGTGTATTTTTAAACTTGAATTTCCACCGTGGATTTTCTGTCTTATTCTTCTTTAAAAATTATGACAACACATCTTGTTCTTATATTGTCAGGACTTTAAAAGAATATTCAGAAGATCAGTCTTTCAGGCATTATGATAATAGTGTCATATTTTACAACAAACAAAAGAGAGGTTACTTTAGTATGTTTTTGATTTATTTATTTATTTTGAAAGGAAATAGCTAAGTCTTCCTTGTATAGAAAGCTGCAGTTCTCAGAAGTAACAACTTTTCTGTGAAATCAGTCTTACTTGGACTTTTCTTGCACATTATCAGACATATATAAGTAATAATGTTTTTTTTGTGTGTGCCTGTTTGTATATGTGTAAATGCTTATAACATTGAATTATATTTTGAACAAGGATTGCAATAAAATGAATGGAAATATCTTCAAGCAGGAATTTCAGTGTTAATGTAATAATTTTCAGTGAAGTTGTGAAACTGCTTGTATAGTAAATATGATTGTACTTTGCAGTAAACTAGCAGGTCATACATTATTCATCACGGGGGCTAGCAGAGGGATCGGTAAAGCTATAGCCTTGAAAGCAGCAAAAGATGGAGCAAACATCGCAATTGCAGCAAAAACAGCCGAACCTCATCCAAAACTTTCAGGAACCATTTACAGTGCAGCAAGGGAAGGTAGAATAGTTACGTGCATTAACTTGTCTTCATAGTAGAGCCAGGAAATTAACTCAATTAATTGACTCTCTAGCTATGAGCATTGATATGATTAAATCTGTTATTTCATGAAAATAATCAAAATTAGTATTTCCAATAGAACTAATTCTTAATCATTGGCTAATGTTACTTACTACATATTTTTGTGGTTGCTGTAAAGCTATTTGCAAATGAAAGAATCTTTATCTTAATCTAGACACAAACAATTAAAAGTAGTGATATGAAATAAACTTTTGCCTTCAAACACCTACAGAGTTTATCAGAGTGTAGAGCACATTCTTAAATAATTAATTGTTAATTAAGTATCAAACAGAACTGGGTGATTTATTAAATATAATTGATTACCAATGAGCATGAAAATTATTAAGAAATCAAAATTATTGTTTCTAATTATTATCATGTTTGATTATTCCAACAATTGATTAATCAAGTTTAGATTAACTGATTGTCATGAAAATAATTAACTAATCAAAATTAGTGTTCCTGATTATTATCATGTTTGATTATTCTAAAAACTGATTAAGCAAAGTTAGATTAATTGATTGTAATGAAAATTATTAACAAATCAAAATTAATGTTCCTGATTATTATCATGTTTAATTATTCCAACAATTGATTAATCAAAGTTAGTTTAACTGATTGTCATGAAAATAATCAGTTAATTGAAATTATTGTCTAATTACACGGGACTGTCAATTTAAATTTCCTAAAAGTTGTTTTGTTTTTAGTAAAGGATTTTTCATAATTCAGCTATGCTCATTTCAAAAATAATATTAATTTTTTTCTATCGCATGAAGATTTTTTACAAATTGGGAAGAAAAATATAACTCTTACTTACATCAAATTATTATTTCATTTACCACAATGAAAAATTGTTTATTATTATATTTGTTAAAAAAAATATAAACAAACTGAAGAAAGGGGAAGAACATTGATGTCAGACAAATATGAATTCTCATTCATCCTGATTTTTATGTGTGAAAATTACATCATTCAGTCTCAAAACTATGTGTTATGGTCTTTCTTTTATTTATTCTGTTATAACATTTTGTGAAAATTCTGTACGTTATGGAGAAAAATGGATATCATTTTCGGATTCAGCGTACAGGTATTACTGTAGAACATGTAAAAATTGCAAGAAAATAAAACCATCGCAGGCCTGTGTTATTATTAATTTTGACTATTTCAACAATTGATTGATCAAAGTTAGATTAATTGTTTGTCACAAAAATAATAAACTAATTGAAATTAGTGTTTCTGATTATTATTGTTTTTGATTATTCCGAAGATCCAACTAAGTGAAATATTACCGTTATGTATGTTTGCTGTTAGCTACATAAAGAGCTAACTGTACATCTGCTCACTGCAGCTATTGAGACCCGATTTTAACTTTATTAGTTGTTTTTTTTTCTACTTAAAGTTCATTCATCTCTGAAATAAAGTGCTTGCCCCATCTTTGTTATGCAAAACTACAAAAGCTCTCTCTCACTGTCACTAATTTTGAACTGCTAACTAGAGAGAGGGTAACTAGATGGCAGCACCAAACTACAACTTTTTGTTTTGCTTATATTCAAGGGTGGGGGTGAAACAGATATTGTGTTTTGAGGAACATTGTACTAATTGATTAAACAAATGTAGTCAATTAACAAATACTACTAACCATCCAGCTCCGCTATCAAATGAACAATTACTCTTGAAAATTTTATTGAAATGCCAAATATTTTGATATGAAAAGTTCAATTAGGTTACTTTGTTTTCAGTGCTAAAACATCACAATAAGTTTATCTTTTCTTGCACTTTTTGCATTGTTAAAGATTCTTATGAAAAAGTAAGTGATTAATAAAAAAAATTATATTTTCACTTTCTTAATTTATTAAAATGTCTTACTCAAAATTTGTAGCAAAACAGTTTTCAACCTTTTGTTCTATTTCTTAAATACTTTAGTGGCTAGATTACAATATTGTTGATGTATACCAGGCTAATTAGAATATTGTTGTTTGTTCTTAGTTGAAGAAGCTGGAGGAAAATGTTTACCCTGTATAGTAGATATTAGGGATGAAGAGCAGGTGAAAAGTGCTGTAGAAAGTACTGTCAAGGAGTTTGGTGGAATTGACATCCTCGTCAATAATGCCAGTGCCATAAACCTAACTGGAACTCTTGAAACTTCGATGAAAAAATATGATTTGATGCATCATATCAATACAAGAGGAACATTTTTGACGTACGTTTGTTATATTGTCATTACTTTCTGTCTCATTTATGTATTAATATCCTGAGTAATTCCTCATTCCCGTTAAGATATTGCAGCCAGAGAAATGTTTTTACTTGATAAAATAATTTACCATATAGGTTGTTAAAAAGATGCATATATGTTTTGTTTTTTCTCTCTCTCATATGTTAATGATCTATATACTGGAACTTGTTTAGTCATTTTGCTACATAATCTCTAAACTCTGTAGAAAGACATTGTTTTTTACATAGCTATTTCTTTTCAGATTTGTAATCTGTAATAATAAAAGAGCCTGTCTGCATGTGTGACCACCATAACCCCAAGAGAAAAGAACCTGAAACTTTGCAAACATACTAAGGGGATTCTGAGGGTGTGCACCTGAGTATTGTTTTTTAGATTTGACTGAAAAAAAATTTGGTCAAATATTTTGCCCTATAGCCCTTAAGCCTCATAATTCTGTTTTCTGAAGGTCTGTAGAAAAGTGAGAATTAGAACAAAAAAATACTGAATGAATGAACAACTTGTGGAGGTTTTCTGCCAAATACTCTTTTTCAACACAAACATGAGAAGAAAAGTACAAACTGAGAATTCAAAAAAAGTTGAATTGAACTAAGTTTTGTAAATGGCAACAAACAACAGGAAGAAAAGTATGAATCAGAGAATAATGGAGAATTCAGAGAATGAAAATAATTCAAATAAAAACATGGGAAGAAGAAAACAAATCTGAGAAGCTAAATTAAAAATATGTTTTTTTAAAAAAAAGTTGAATTAAGTATGAGAAATAGCAACAGACAAATCAGTTAGAATTGTCACAGTGGTGTAGCTATAGAAGTAATTAAGATAATGAAGATGCTTGACTGGTACACAGGGGTGGATTTAAGCCTAAATGCCTAGTCAGCTAAAAAAAATAGAGCCTAGCAGGCTCCATACATACCAATATTATACATCAAGTGAAAGCAAATAATTTCAACAGATAGCTGAATAAATTGATATACTTGATAAATAGAATAGAGTTAAAGTAATGTATTTCTAAAAAGCATTATATATATAAAGGGGTCTGGCCTAAAGAGGAGCCCGGTCAGTTTTAGCTGACCATTAAATCTACCCCTGCTGATACACTGAAGCCTCTGTGAATTATGAGAATCCCACAGTGGAGCATGGGTATTTTATGCTAGTAATTGATAATTGGCATGTGGTTAGCTTGCATGATGAGTTCTTCAAACATTGTTCAGTAAAATTATACTGAATTTACCCTTAACTAATGGATATATTCATTTGTCACTAGAAGTCTGATGTACAGCTGTAAGGAATGTTTTTTGTTTTGTTTTTTGATCATATGAACATTCTAGATTTTTTTCCATTACCACTTGCTCATTGAAATGTTTTAGTTGAACAATGTGGTACAGCTAACAGTAGCACATGTGTGTTGTTCCACCAGCATGCAGCAATATATTCTTATTGAGTGACAAGAATAAAAAAAGATCTAATCAGTTTCTAACTTACTAGTACTATTAACATAGTGTACCAAAATATAAATTATGTCCATACCTCTGTTTATGAAGTTACAAACTTGCTTAAACAGAAAAAGGTTGTTTTTTTTGTAGAACTAGTGAACTTTGAATCCATTCTTTGAACTTTATTTTAAACATTTAATTTTTATAAGTATTGAAGAGAAAATATCTGTGTGAAAGTCCTAAATTTCGGTGTTGTGAAATATGTACCAGACCCCATGATTGTCGAAAGAAAGATGGTCAGAAATAGTCGTATCTTATCTGTTTCCATTCATATAAGGGATTTTTTCCAATGTTTTTATGTAAAAAGAGAGAGCAAAAGTACCTTATGACCATAAAAGATCTAAAATGATAAGTTATTTGATTGCTCTGTGTAAACACAGTGACCACATTGAACCGAGCAGCTCTTTCTGTCAAACCTAATTGAACAGTAAATGTTCAGACAAAGACTTAAGTCTAGCCTTTGTACAATAGTAGATGTTATAGAAGTTGACCTAACATCTGTCACAGTTTCTATAAAAAAAATTAGTTAACTGAATAAACATGCTGAAGCAACAGGGCAACCTTTTAGAAAATCTAGTTTAATGTGAGCCAGGAATGGTTAGGATGTCGAGAGTACATGGTTTGAATACCATTTATAAAAAGGAAATAATAAGACAGTTTTTTGCTTCACACTTTGAGGTCATGAATATGCTGTAAGAATGAGGGTCAAGTCTCACTATCTGATTATAGTACCCCAGGAATTGATGGTACAAAATTAGAGATGGCTGGTGTAAGTAGCACAAATATCCAAAAGAAACAAGACTTTAATTTTTTTTTAAACTGTTGGATCATTATAAAAATGAAACATGGTGAATTATAGATCAGACACTATCGTACGATGAAACATACCACATCCATTATATCTATGAAAAATGTCTATCAACAGTAATGAATTTAGATTCAGAAGTGGTATTTAATATACGTAACGTCAGTACTGTTGTGTCATATCCATTGTTTCATAACATAAAATATGTCGTAATATTTATGTTACTATAAGAAATCAATACTGTATTGACTTATAAAACTACTGTTAATTTCCCAATCTCCCTATATCTCAAACTCAGATTGAGCTGTTTGTGGCCAGTATACAATATTTAAAATTAAAGTTCTGGTGATTTACTTAAGTTTCTCTAATGTTTTTTCTTCTACTACTATAGGTCCAAGCACTGCATACCCTACTTAAAGAAGTCTTCCAACCCTCATGTTCTAAATTTAAGTCCTCCACTAAACTTTCAACCGAGGTGGTTTAAAGATCACGTTGGTAAGTGTTTTTTTAGACATGCTTGTTTGTGATTACCCTGACATACGAGTTTGTGTTTGTTTGTTTTTCTAATTCAGTGTAAATACTTTTCGTCCAAGACATTTATTAAACAAAATATACATGCACCATGACTTTAGTCTTGTGTCTATTGATTTTTATATTGATTTAAAATGTTATTCAGACTATACTTAAAAACTTTTGTGAACACTCACTATTAAACTAACTTTTATCTATTGTTCATTGTTCAGAACAGTGCATAAAAAATCCAGTCTGCTGCCACTTCCAGACTATAGATATAACAGCACAGTGATCAGTCATATATAATTAGTGAGACCAATATATAATAGGACTACATGGAAAAATGGTTTAACAAAGATGGGATTTTATTTTACTGACTTTATCTCTAATATAGTTAAAGTAATATCTTATATGACTTCATGGCAAATGATTTAACAAATATGAGAATCTGATACTATCCCCCCCCCCCCCCTTAGCGCACCAATCTATATACCCCATCAACTTCTCAGCATTTTTAACATATACATATCATGTGACTACTCTCTACCAATAGTAGTGTGTCACCTATGTTGATGCAGGTAGATCCCTATGCTATTCCCACTCGATCCTCACTTTCAATGGCACTACATTGTTTAGAAGTGTGTTTTTTCACGTGTGACTACAGTTTCTGATTGTGCTTCATTGTCATTTCTAACAGTTTTATTTTTCTGTTTTTGAATTCAATTGTTTAAACAATTTTGCAATAGAATTTGTTTCTTGTTTCTAAGTGAACTTAGTATGAATTTGAGTATATTGGAAATGGAAATTCCTGTGACGGTTGACAATGCAAATGGTATGACTTCCCAGGACTCGGGTTTGACTTTATATGCAGAAAAAGTACAAGCCTTAATTCGCAGGGAGCTAGAGTCATATGTTCAGCTGGAAATTTCTTCTCCTTTTCAACCTGAACATGTTTCTGAGGAAAAATATCGTCATGGTGCAGAATGATTGGACTCTTTTTTTTTTTCTTTTTTTCCCAGCACCTTCTTATTTTTGTCATTCACAATAAACACCTATTCAGGAGATTTCACCTCCCATCCCTTTTTCTGATAAAGGGGGAGAAGGCCATTCTTACCCCCACTCAATATTTTGTTTATTTGGGGGTTTGCTTCAATTGCAACCTCAGTCAGGTCTGGCTATCTTTGGGATATGGAGCGAGTGGTCAACAAGGCCTTCACCTCACATCGCGAGAGTTTCTATCTCATTTGGGGATGTGGGCTTCCTTGGAAGCTCTCATTCCCATGGGTTGAGCTAATGTGTATTTACTTCAGTGGACACTCCTTGATCAGTGGGACTTCTCCTTGGACCACCCTGTTACCCTTCTTTTCACAACAAGGGCCAACTTGGCTTGGTGGCTTGACAGGGACCAGACTACAGAGTGATTCTGCTTCCTTCACCTTGTGTGGACTTACATCTGTTCACAGACACATCTTTAGACGGTTGGGGTGCTTACCTAGACTCTAAGGATATTTGTAGTCTCTGATTGGCCAAGGAGTCTTCTTTCCATATTACAGGGTGCATATGCATCCTTGAAATAGATAATGGAATTTCAAGGGCTTGAGAGTGCTTGAAAAGGGGTCTTTTTTTTTTGCAAAAGTACTTGAAAATATTATACTAGCAGAATACATTGATATATCTAACTTTAATGCATGTTGCAGAGTTGAGCGCAATAAATGGTCTTTCTTTTCTTTTTAGTGTTGAACAAATAAATAGGAATTTTATAAAATGTCAGTAGAATCCAATTGATTTTGATGTAGATTTGAGCTTCCAAAAATTGTTGGAGAAACATTCTGAGAGTGCTTAAAAATCCATGAAAAGTGCTTGAAATTGATCCGAGCAATTCAGTATTAACCATGATATCCATATTCTCAAACTTATGGCGGTTCATGAGCTTTGTCCCACTTCCTTCATCTCCTGCAGGTGGTTATGGTACACTCCAACAACTTCTGTGTGTTCACTTATATCACCAAGTAAGGTGGTATTAAATCCAGGTTTCTGTGCTTTCAGACCCTGGATCTCCTTTTTTTTTGGTGCACAGTCACCACATTATGGTCTTAGCTTGCCATGTTCTTGGTGCCCTGAATCTGGTTGCAGATCAATTACCTCATCCCAACAAGATTCTCCCCATAGAGTGGTCCCACAATCCTCAGGTCTTTTAATGGATGTCTTCTGAGCTGGAAACACCTCATATCAATGCTTTTGCCACCTATTGTAACACCAAACTTCCTTCCTTTTGATCTCCTGTTCCATACCCACTAGCTCTGGGGGTGGATACATTTAGTCAAAATTGGAGGGGTTTTCACCTCTATGCTTATCCTTCTATTCGACTCTTCTCCAGAGTTCTATTCCTAATCCAAACTACTCCATGTCTAGTCCTACTTGTGTCTCAGTATTGGCATGCAACCATGGTTCCCTCTGCTCCGACTTTTACTTGTACATCCTCCCTTACCCTTACTTCTGTCTCAGTCTCTACTCCATCAACCTTGGTGGGACATTGTTCATCCAGATGTCACCACAATCTGTCTTCATGCATGGCTTTTGTCAGGTCCATTGCCTCAGCCCAGTGACTGACTCCATATGTTGCATCTTTCCTTTCTTGTTCCTTCAGACTTTCTTTATGTCCATTTATCAAAGGCGATGGTCGACCTTCTGTCTTTGGTCTATCTGATATGGCTTCTGTCCTTCCCACCCTTCTTTTCCTCATCTTTCCAAATTCATCACCTGGTTGTTTGACAAAGGCTTTTCCACTTCGATCATGACTAGCTATCAGGTGGCCTTGTCAAACACCTTCCATTTCTCCAAGTTTCATAAGGTTTTGTCTTTCCCCATCATTTCCCTCCTTTTCCGCTCCTTTTGAGTCATGCATTCTCCATGTTCTTTTGATTTTCCTGGTTGGGATATCAATGTGGTCCTTTATGCCTTTTCATGTCCTTCTTTTGAACCTCTGTCTATGTGTTCCACATACCATCTCTCCCTCAAGACCTATTTCCTTCTCTTCCTTGCTTGTGAATGTTGTCAATGAGATATTTATGCCACTAACATTACCTGCATCCTCTACCATTCCTCTTGTGTCATCCTAGATCCTGACCAGTTCTTCTTCTTTGAGACCTATACTGCCACTAATGATGGTTTGGTTTTCATACCCATTTCCTTACCTTCATTCACCCACCTGTACTCCCATTCTGATCCTGATCGGCTTCTTTGTCCAGTTTGCTTCTTATATGTTATGTGGCACGTACTGCTTTCTTTAGGGATTCACATTCCCGACTTTTTATTCCCTGGAAATCTTTTGTTTCCCTTGATCTATCCCCTGTCATGCTAACTGGTTGGGTCTGTCAACTTGTTAGGCTGTCATATTTGGACTTATCCATGGTAAGTTGCCATCTCCACAACGTTTTTTCTCATCAAATTCATAATATCACCATGTTTTTGGTTGTTCTCCTTCACCATTCAGGCCAGAATGTGGATTACTCCCAATACCTTCATCACTCATTATCTATACAATCTAACTGTATCTTCTTCAAGTGGATATTGTCTCCCTCCCATGGCGATTTTATGCATATCCGTTCTCCTTTGAATGGGGTAAGTCACTTCCTATCATTTATATTTATATCTTCAGCAACCCTCATTTTTACCAATAATAATGTGATCCCACTCTGTGGTGGGTGTTGCCTTGTCAGGTGTGCTTTACCTACACTATTTACTGATTGCACTATAATGGTCACTGTAGAAATAGTGTTCTGCAAGAACATTGGTGGCATCCTGAGTGGTGTTATATATATATATATATACACACACACACACACACACATCCACTGGTGGCGTACCAAGCAATATATATATATGTGTGTGTGTTTCTAAATATCAGTAAGTTTGACTCAGTGGTGGACCGTCACTCATGGTCTTCATAAGTAAACCAGAAGGGGATTTCTGCCCATCCCTGCTGACCCTTTGATTGAATAAATTGGGGTTGGTCTGCATTTCAAAATAGGGAATCACAGATGGCCATTGCACTTTCCCCAGTGTGATGTTCGTCTGGACACCCACCATGTTTACTTCCCCTAATTTTTCCTCCATTGGAACATGGGAGTCCTTATCACTTCCCATTTTCTGTGGTGGTGGACCATGGAGGCTTCCTACTGAGGGAGTTTAGAAAGTTAATATACTATACATACTCATGATTATACACTCAGTGAGAAGAGGGCAAAGCTGGTTTCCCTCCTTCCATTTCCTCTGGGTGTTTTTTCCAAGGTGGACAGTTGTTGGATGGAGCAAATCCAGCCTAAGTGGGATCCTCCTCGTAATACTTGAAATGACATCACCCTGTTTCTTTGGTTGGGTGAATGATCCATGTCCTCCTCATAATTCCGGATGCAAAATGTCTCTTCCCTGCACTTACGGTTGAATGATTTATGATTGCTGCTTGTAATACCAGTTACTGATATTACTCTGTTCTAACGGTTGAATTGAGACAACACAATGACCCCATAATGCCAGATTCAATTTGTTGTTGAACTTGTTTCTGTGGTAGTTTTTGGGAGTTTGCACAGTTTTGGCCAAAAGCTAACTTCCTCTTTGTAATTTCAGTTTACTTGCGGTCCGGGCTGATGAGTATATGTAACATGATTCCATATGCCTTAACCACTATGTTTATGTTCTGCCCATATCAGATTCATTTCCTACTTCAATGGTGAAGAGCATACCTGTTCCAGCAGTGGTGCAATACCCCACAAGTGTGCTTCGTTTTCACCTTGGAGCACAACCGTTTATTATGGGTGGTCACTTTCCACTTAGTTTCAGTGATGTGCACCTAAACTGCCCCCCCCCCGGCCGATGTTCTTCTTTTGGAGCCTGCCAATTCTCAAAAGTGACGATTGAGTAGGAATAGCAGAGGTTGCTAGATGCACCAATATAGGTGGTGCAATACTATTGGTGGAAAGTAGTCACATGATATGTACATGTTTAAAAATGGCTCAAAATTGATGGGGTATATAGACTGTGCTGAGCACAAACATATTTCAGCAATGCTTAGAGGGCAGGAAAAGATCAAGAAAGATTTGTGAGAGGAGGAGGTAGGTAACAATTGGAAGTAAATTTTCAGTGTAAGAAAACTGTTAACATTCACTGGTATTAATTGTAATAAACAGGTAGGTTTTTAGGTCCACTACAGGAACTTTTTTTTAATTCTGGTTTTCATGCGAGTTTTTAAACAAACTTAAAAATTCTATAGAAAAGATTTTTCATATTTAATGTCATAGGTTTCATGAAAATCTGAGTGATTACAAAGTCAGATAGTAGTAACACTAGTTTAAGTGGTGTGCTTGAGCTATTAAATACATTTTACCACTAGTGTGCTCATTAACTAAATTTTGAGATGTATGTGTACTTATAAATTTGTCTTGAAACATAATGGAACAGTTTTTTTTCATGTTTTGCTAGATATAAAATTTTGAAATCATGAACTAAATATTTTTCTCTTTGTGTAGCTTATACAATGGCCAAGTATGGCATGTCATTGTGTGTATTAGGCATGGCAGAAGAACTGAGACCTTTCAAAATTGCTGTTAATGCTCTCTGGCCAAAAACAGGTGAGTTGCTAAACCTTATTATATTTACTAAGATTTCTAACTTGGTTAGACACAGAGCTAAAATGTAAATTCTTTAAAAAAATATTACCCTTCACGAACAAGATGTCATCATGGTGTTATTGGAGGTGATCATGCCAGCTGTATGAAAGTGGTTTATTTTTTTTAGGCTGAATGTAATTAAACTGTGATAATTCTTCCTGATTGTCATTAAAAGTCCTACTGAGTAAAGCTTTCCATGCTCAGAGTAATCACTGTGTTGTTTTCCATTACTGTATCAACCTGTTAAGTATAAAAGTATTCTGAGAAAGACATATGAAATGTTTGAAAATTAACTTAGTTTCAACATAGCTGTGTCTTCTTATCTTGACAGTAGCATTATGGTTTCTCAGACTCGTTATTTCAATAATCGATGAGATAAATGTTTTGTTAAAATGTTGGGAAAATATTTATTAGTTGTTAATATTGGTATTTTTTATGTTTTATGAATTTTTCCATTAACTGTTAGAAATATCCTGGTGATTAAGATTCTCAGCTCACAATGAATGAGTTGTGGGTTCAAACTCCTCTCACTGAACATGCTCTCCCTTTCAACCATGGGGGCATTATAACGTATAGGTCAATCTCATTATTTGTTGGTAAAAGAGTAGCCCAAGAGTTAGTGGTGAGTGGTGTTAACTAGCTCCCTTCTATCTAGTCTATCACTGCTAGATTAGGGATGGTTAGTGCAGACAGCCCTTGAGTAGCTTTGCAGGAAATTCAAGACACACAAACAAACTTTTAGATATATTCAAAAATTTTATTTAAATTTTATTGAAATATGTTGTTCTTTTTTAAAACTTTGAAAATATTTTCCAGCTATAATTACAGCAGCTATGGAAATGCTGGGTGGAAAAGAAATAGGCCAAAGCTGCCGAAAGCCAGAAATCGTGGCAGATGCTGCTTATGCTATATTAACAAGAAACAGTGACTCTTTCACTGGTAACTTTTGTATTGATGAATACATACTGAAAGATGCTGGTGTAACAGACTTGGACCAATATGCTGTATCACCAGGTATGTATCTTTGTACTTACTTGTGTTTATGGATGAATAAATAAATAAATATATATATATATATATGTATGTGTGTGTGTGTGTGTGTATACATATCAATTTGAACTTCATAAGTATTTTTCACATATGTATGCACTAATATAAAGAGTCATTCTAGGCCTAAAATCGAACATATTTTATACAAGAAGTGAGTGTCTTGATCATCATGCATTAACAAAGTTAGTTATTGTTGCAGTAGACCAGACGTTTTTGACTTACGAAATTTAGAAGAAGATTTTTATTTCAACAAAATTATCTGGAATGTTGTATTATTTTAGGTCATCCTCTTCTGCCTGATTTCTTTCTCAGTGATGAGGACTTGAAAACTTTTGACTCAGTTCCTGATATTAGTATTGAAAATTTAAAGCAACCTGATACAGACAAATCTTCAGAAAAAGTCTTCAGTAAAATTGAAGGACTGCTAAGTGAAGACATCGTTAAATCAACAGGCGGAATTTTTGTGTTTGACATCACTGGTAAGTTACCCTCTCCACAAGTGGAGAGTAAGAGTATATACCGTAAGTGAAACTATAATTAGTTCAGTTCCTGAGCTTTTAGTTTTCATATAAGATATAAGTTAACTGGATCTAAACTTACACACACACATGCATTATAAACAATTTCATGATAAGTATCAATTAGCTTAGTTGTGGGTTTAGTACATTTACAAAAATATAAAAAAATAATGGAGTCAAAGCAGCTTCAGTTTGATCATCAACATATATGTTTGGCTGGATGAAATCACGGGTTTAGAATGCCTGGACTTTGGATTTGAGGGTCTTCATCCATTACCACTCAAGACAAAAAATCTTATTCTGCACTTGGGCTCATGGGTATGCTATAACAGTGACAGTAAAATTTCACCGTTTGATTAGAATAACCCATGAGTTTGGCTGTAGGTGCTATTCACTAACTGCCTTTCCTACAAAACTAGGGATGGCTTGTGGAGATAGCCCTTGTGTAGCATTCAGCATGTATTTGAAAACAAACAGATTATCTTTTTTTTTTTCCCCACTCTCTTCACTATGTGTGTAAACTATATCAGTGCACCTTGATATCATCTGTAACACCCCATACCACTGTTCCTTCTGGCTTAAGCTTGGATTCTACTTGGCGTCACAATAGAAAAATATTTGAATCTTACTTTTGTTAAATAAAAGACCTATAGTCCCTATTATCAGGGCTGCTACAGTTGTTTGAAAGTATTAAAGGTATATTTTTAATGTTAATTGTAATAGAATTATCTTCTAAATATTGTAATTCACCATACGGGTGATGTTAAATGTAATATAATCAAGCTCTAACTAATGTTGTAATTCAACACATGGGTGATGTTAAATGTAATAGAATTAAGCTCTTATCTAAATTTTGTAATTGAGCATACGGGTAATGTTAATTGTAATAGAATTATCTTCTAAATATTGTAATTCACCATACGGGTGATGTTAAATGTAATATAATTAAGCTCTAATCTAAATTTTGTAATTGAACACACGGGTAATGTTAATTGTAATAGAATTATCTTC